TGAAAATATATTTTAATTGTAATGTGAGTATAATGTGGCGTAGTAAGTAAATTTTTATGGTGGTAATATAATTACTTTATTATTTATTCCAAATCATTTAATGTTATCCAGACCATGAGTGATCTTTAAATATTTTATTGTTATTAATCATGTTGGAAACTTTATCTTAAAAATAGACCTTCTATGTGGTTTTGGTCTTTTTGGACAATAATGGAGAGTTGATCAAAAGAACATTGACCCACACGAGGACAAATCAATATGTTATTGTATCATATCCACGAGTTTAAGAAATCTTCATCAATGAATGATCTTATAAATTATAATATTTTTTTATTTTTTCTATAATCTATTTTTTTTAATATAATCGTGCTTTCATAATTTCATTGAATCATTCTGATTCATCATTGCTTTAAAGTTGAATAATTAATGGGAATTACTGGTTAGCATTCTGAAGTTCAACAAGAAGAAACCTACAATTTGCGCAAGAATAACATGAAAGACTGTTATTCGCGACATTTTGCTCTTTCCTTTCTCAAATTTATTAGAAATAAGACTTTTTGCTTTTTGATCAAAATTTCTTTGTTTCTTGATTTTGAAAGATTTGCTTATATTTCTTTATTTCTTATGTAGTTATTCATTTTTTATCGATGTTAGGTTTGCATCTAAATATTAGCCTTATGCGAGCAATAATTTAGGCAAAATTAAAGAAACTAACAGGACAGATGTCGTCGGGTTGGTGGTGTAGTCTTTCAAATTGATAGTTCGGAAAAAAATGAAGAAAAGGTTGGATTATTATTCATACTGTCTTGAGTTTTTTCTAAAAAGGTAATAATTGATTAGATTCTCTTTTATTTTTTTCCTTTTCCTATGTCAAAACTTTTTCCATTTCTCTCACTGAAAAAGTTTTACCCCTTCATTGTCTATTTTACCCTAATCTTACCAATGAAGGAATCCATTACTTTTTCTTCTTGAGTTTGAGTTGGGCCCATTACAAATGAAAATTCAAATTTGTTTTAAAAATGAGGCAATTCCTTATCACTTTACTTTTTCCTTTTCCTTTTTTCTTTTATTATTATTTTCTTTAAGTAGTAAAATAAGTATAATTTACTTAGCCTCATCTAGGCTCCATTTTAATTTAATGTAT